CCAGGAGCCCCTAGTAGCGTCCTTGCTCCTAGTACCGATGCCAGGAGACCCTAGTAGCTTCTTGTTCCTAGTGGTCAGGCCAGGAGCCCCTAGTAGCGTCCTTGCTCGTAGTAGCGATGCCAGGAGCCCCTAGTAGCTTCTTGTTCGGAAGAAAGGCCAGGAGCCCCTAGTAGCGTCCGCTCCTAGTAGCGATGCCAGGAGCAGCTTCTTGTTTCTAGTGGTCAGGCCAGGAGCCCCTAGTAGCGTCCTTGCTCCTAGTAGCGATGCCAGGAGCCCCTAGTAGCTTCTTGTTTGTAGTAGTTTTGCCAGGAGCCCTAGTAGCGTCCTTGCTCCTTGTAGCGATGTCAGGAGCCCCTGGTAGCTTCTTGTTTCTAGTAGTAAGGCCAGGAGCCCCTAGTAGCGTCCTTGCTCCTAGTAGCGATGCCAAGAGCCCCTATAGTAGCGTTCTTGCTCCTAGTAGCGATGCCAGGAGCCCCTAGTAGCTTTTTGTTTCTAGTAGTAAGGCCAAGAGCCCCTAGTAGCGTCCTTGCTCCTAGTAGCGATGCCAGCAGCCCCTATAGTAGCGTTCTTGCTCCTAGTAGCGATGCCAGGAGCCCCTAGTAGCTTCTTGTTCCTAGTAGTCAGGCCAGGAGCCCCTAGTAGCGTCCTTGCTCCTAGTAGCGATGCCAGGAGCCCTAGTAGCGTTAGTAGCGATGCCAGGAGCCCCCTAGTAGCTTCTTGTTCCTAGTAGTCAGGCCAGGAGCCCCTAGTAGCGTCCTTGCTCCGAGTAGCGATGCCAGGAGCCTCTAGTAGCGTTCTTGCTCCTAGTAGCGATGCCAGGAGCCCCTAGTAGCTTTTTGTTTCTAGTAGTAAGGCCAGGAGCCCCTAGTAGCGTCCTTGCTCCTAGTAGCGATGCCAGGAGCCCCTAGTAGCGTTCTTGCTCCTAGTAGCGATGCCAGGAGCCCCTAGTAGCTTCTCGTTTCTAGTAGTAAGGCCAGGAGCCCCTAGCAGCGTCCTTGCTCCTAGTAGCGATGCCAGGAGCCCCTAGTAGCGTCCTTGCTCCCAGTAGCGATGCCAGGAGCCCCTAGTAGCGTCCAAGTAGATCAACAAGAGCTGAGCCAAACTTCTAGAAATCTCTGACACCTTCCAGGCAATTCGCCCAGACACCTGAGGGTTCAGGGCATCGACATAGTCAAAGAATTCGCCCTTGCCAGTTGCCAGCTGATGCACCAAGGAATCCACTTCAGGACACACCTACAGGCCGCGTTTCGAGCCTCGTTTCGAGAGTCCTGTGCCTGCACTCCACTCGAAAATCAGTCAAGAGGGAACAATCCCCACAACATGACAGAAGTGGTCGGTGACTCTTTGTGCGCTAAATGTTCTGAGATGTTCTCCAACAGGTCTAAAGGTAATTCAAGGTTGAACCTTCTTGAATTGCTCGAGGTGTCCTTTCTCTTACGTGCCGTGCGTGTGTGTGTGTGTGCATTATTTAAAAGACCTTTCTTCTTTCGACCTATGTGTACATCTGTATGTGAGGCACAAGGCATTACTACTAGTAGCAAGGGCATTACTACTAAAGCAAGAAGCTACTAGTAACAAGGCAGCTCCAACTTTTGGCGGCCTCAGTGGACTCCGGAGCAAACTCCTGTGTCCGTTTCGTCTCTGTCTGCTTCAGTTTCGGTGCGATGAAAGCATAGCTGTCCAGCCTCACCGTGGTTCGAGAGCTGTCCACACCAACTTGAGACCAAGAACAGCAAAAGGATCCAGGAGGGAGGGTAGAGAAAGAGCGTCCTAGTCTAGGTCTTCCTTGTTACGTTCGTAGCTTCTTGTTACTAGTAGTAATGCCAGGAGCTACTAGTAGCGTCCTTGCTCCTAGCAGTAAGGCCAGGAGCCCCGAACGTAGCGTCCTTGCTACTTGAGAATCCAGCTTCGACATACTTTGCAAACAGATCAACCCCTCAGCCTGGAAGACAGACTTCCGGATGCTGCAGCTGTCCGATGCACTGCTCGGGCAGCACCAGCGCTGGCATCGCTGTCGAGAATACCGCCCAGATGCCCCAGGTTTCCAGATTTCCACCTCAGGCCATCCTGAGTAGTAACAAGTGCCACGCTAGTAGTAACAAGTGCCACGCTAGTAGTAACAGGTGCCACGCTAGTAGTAACAAGTGTAGTGCATTACATCGGACGATGGGTTGTAAAACAATGGAAACCAGAAAACACGTTTGGTGATGTGTCTCATACTGACTCACATGACCTTGCACTACGAGTGGTGTGATTCTTGCTACAACCGCTTAAGCCATTAGGCAAGTGGCCGGGTTCTTTTGCTGCATGCTTTCACCTCAGTCACATGTCATGCTGTCTGGGCCTAGCTTGCAAAATGTTGAGCATATCCTCTAGCAACTCACTGCAACTCCGGCATGATGTCATCCTACACTACCAACAATGAAACAATGAAGCCGTCCATACCCTGGGTCAATCGGGTTCATCAAAGCCACCCTGCCACATGCATGGATCTTTGCCCTTGTTGAGCTTTGCCTTCTCTTGCTCCATGGTTCTCCATGCGCACTTTCTGCCGCACTTCTAGGAGGCCATGGAAGTTTCAAACCGCCATATCTGCTAGTTGCCTGGTACCATCGAGGAATTCTTTCCGGAATTCGGGGACTTGCTTTTCGACCGGACAAGACATTTACACGAACGCCGAGCCAGGCCAAAGATGTGTCCTCGCTCTGTCGAATTAACAGGTTGCCGGCAGGTGCATTGGAAGCCAAGTCCGCCCAAACTGTCGTAGGGGGCTGGTCCTATGTTTCCTAGGTTTCCCTTGGCTGCAATCAACTGTAAAGGTTGGGTGAGGTGGTGAGGTATTTAGAGCACCTTGCGCCGCCTGAGCTCCGGAACTGTAACTTATCGTTAACTGATGTTTTGCAGCGGCTTGCCTGTTCTGAGACCCAACAGACGCAAACCCATGGCTTTCAAGAAGGTACTTGATCCGCAGCCATTGACGGTCTTGTGCACAAGGTGGACAAGAAGTTGCGGTTGGCGTTGTGGTTGTTTTCTTTGTGGTTGGTTGGCGGTTGAATATCCTCCGCGCTGAGAGCAAAAGCTGCTGAACTGTCTTCGAAGAACGGAAGCACCCTGTCACAGTCTTGTGCTTCCTCCACCCATGGGGTCCACATGCACACCAATGAAAGGATCAACTTGGAAGGTTTGGATATATACCCTCATAGAAAAAGACTTTAAGGAACCTAATAGCAATGGCCTCCAACCTACTACAAGTAGCGATGACCTCCAACCTGGTGTTAGGGCCTGCTAGGATTGCTGTTTCATATGTTTCACAGGTCAGAGATTCACTGGATTGAAGTTTTACAGCATGCGATCAGACTTTCCCTTTTCCGTGGCAGTACTCTGCAATCTGCCGCGGCCACCTGCGCAGCAAAGAAGCCATTCTTTGTGAAGTATCTAGTCGTTAAGGGGTAGTGAGTCGTTGAGGTCAAAAAGGAACAACGTCAGAAAGAAAAGTCTATGTAATAAAAGAGGAGAAAAAACTTGAAAGACATATCTACTTACAGCAAAAGCTCTTGTTTCTTGCTCCATCTTGCCCCTCGTCAAAAGAGGCATTCCGAAATGCCCGATCTAAGTAAGGCCCTGGACAAGGAATAAGTTCAAAAAAAGAACCTGTCAAAGAGTCCACGAGAAACCTGTCAAAGCCACGGCCCAAAACCTGAGACCACCGGTGACAATCCGCTTTCATCTTCTTTCCATCGGAGAGAGGCCCAGGAAGTCGACGTGCGTTCGGTTGAGGAAACGAAGTCGTTGAACTTGGAACTCTTTATAGGTGAAAGAAGAAAGTTCCTACTCCCCTACAGACTAACATGGAACCCCAAACCACTAAAGTGTAAGGAAAATGGTCTTCCATCGGTTCATTTTCGGGTTCCATGTTGGAGTAATAGGAATGGCCTCCAACCTGATAGCACTGGCCTCCAACCACAACAACCCTCACAGGACCCATGCAGCTTGGCGCCACTTTTGCCGCCATCTGTGGCATTTCAAGCTGAGTGTGCTTTGGTAGATGTTCATGCGTGGCAAATGCTGGTCTATGAGGCAGTCGCAAACAAAGATGAAATGGATGTAAAAACTTCAAAACTTCAAACCATGACTCCGACTATATATAAGCGATGTGTCTTGAAGCTTCTGCCAGCTCAACCAGTTTCTTTTCGAGATTTCCCACGCACAGTGGATGCTCAAGCGAGGCGATGTACGAGATGAGCTCCCCTCTGCGAGATCACGATGTCGCTAATCGCGCCAACCTTACTGAAGAAAGAGCCATGTGTCAGCTGAAACAAAATCAACAATCACGATGCCCTTTTCATCTTTCTTTTGGAACTTCTCAGCCGCGCGACCGCAAGATCAAATGCGGCAGCTTCGAAGTCCTTGTCTGACTGTCCTTCATCAGTCAACATCTGACATGCTCAAAGAAGCTACGTACGGAACAAAGGGCATCGCTGCGAACGGAGCGATCGGACGCGAACCGAACGGAACACATGCATCCGATCACACAAGCCGGGAGCTCCTGGCACGATCCAGCCCAAGTCGGCCAGAGCACCGTTATTCGCAGAGTTGCAATCCGAATGCGCCTACACATTGAGGCTCATCTTGCTGGTCTTACTCCCCCAGCCCCCTCCACCACTCCGATGATGCATGAACAATCAAAAGCAGCAGGATCCCCACCCACGCCGCCTTCGCCAACCTAAGTAGCACATGCAACAGCATGAGGCATGAGTTGGCGAAGGTTGCCAACAATAGATGTAAAGTTCAAGCCGGACATCCGACTCTATCCCGAACTTGGATTACCATCCGACTCCAGAATCGACGTGCAACAGAAGAGGCGGCAGGCCCCCGAACAAGTCTATGAAGTCCAGGGGCTCAGCAAATTTTGCAGACAACTTCTTGGCAGCATCTGGAGTATTCTGAGGCATCTCATTGAGGATTTGCAAGAGCTTCAGGAGCTCCTTTTCAGCGTCCTCAGACACTTTTAGCAAGCATACTCGGGGACGCCCAAAAAAAGTGCGAGAGTTCTCGAAGGAAATGTAGGTCCCTTCAAGGGCCCGCAAAAATGGTTCCTAAGAATTCAGGGACAACTAGATCCAAATGCGACAACATGCATCCCGCCAAAGATTTCAAGGACTTCCTGTGATAGTTCTTATTGTGGAAGTAGACCAAGTTGAGAACAAAAGCAGTTTCAAGAAGACTTCAGGTCTCGGCACTGACAATCCAAAAGTATGCTTCTTGAAGACTTCAACTGGGTAACTAGGTGACTCTAACCCTCTCTTTCATCTCGGCACTCCTACTTGGAGCCGGAGCCTGTGAAGTAGCTTCTCGTTCCTAGTAGCAAGGCCAGGAGCCCCTAGCAGCGATGGCCTTGTTCCGTTCGTAGTAAGGCCCTTGTTCCTAGTAGCGATGCCCTTGTTCGTCCGACTTGATTCAGAACTCTTTCAAGCAAAAGCCGCCAAGAGCCTGATGCCAAGGCACGGCCTGCAAGCGACCTTTTGGTGCAGCACGTCGAGCCATTGGATCGTGAGAGCTCAAAGACTCCCACTTCATCAGGATGTGGCTCACCCGAATTCCTCAAAAACATGGCCGCGGCAAGGTGAAGGACCAAAACAACATCCCACTGGAGGTCTAAAGCAAAGGATCAAACAAAGTATTGGCTGTCTTCACGGTCATTTGGTCAAGCTTGCGAGCGTACTCCCCCGAGCTAGGCTGCCATTTGCCATGCTTTCCGTCAAAAAATGATCACCAGTTTGTCCAGTTTGGTGCAACACTCGGTGAACAGGGCGAACATCAAAATGCAAATTTTGTGGCAGCTGTCTCGTGGCGGGTGCAACACTTTCAGGCTCCACATTGCTTTGGCTGTGCTTGGTGAAAGGACTGGAAGGGGTTGGGCCACTACAACAATCACCGTGAACAGCTCATCTACTTCTCCCGTGCACTGTGCAAACCACTGGCCACTCAGACAGCTTAAGAAACAAGAAAACCCAATGTTGAAAGCCAGGACGGCGCGAAGAGCCAAGAAACCAAATGCCATCAGAAGCACCAGTACCCTGCCTATGTGAGAGTGGGTGCTGGATTTCTTGTGGATGCGTTTCATCTGTGGCAGTTCTGTAGCTCTTTCCAGGCTCAAGGGCTTGTGTATAAGATGATTACGCTCAGATTGTGGTCAAGTGATCGGAGCCCACCCACCTCAATCCTCAATCGAGCCTTACTAGTAGTAACAAGTGCCACGCTACTAGTAACAAGTGCCTTACTAGTAGTAACAAGAAAATAGAACACACACATAGACCAAGGACCAAGGGACCAGCATATGGAATACGTGCGTTTGACGCACCGTGCTTGTTGATGCCAAACTCGTTTTGTTCGTTCGGCCATTGCTATTGGAGGCCATGTGCCACCAGCCTTCGACCAAGGGACGGTTGGGTAGTCCACCCCCAGGCTGTGGCCCTACTACAACTTCAGCTGATGGCGCCTTCCTCGCTTGCTGCAACACTGGACTGGGAGTACTTACTGCCCAACATGTAAAGCACAAAGGAAAAAGATCATATAATAGATCCAATAGAGTCTAGTAGGTACACATCCCAACACAAACATAGCTCTCTCAGGAGGGTTTGGAAATGATGTTTCTCTGCTAGTTAGGGGGCGATGATGAGCTATGTATGTTTGGGAGACATCTAGTTGCTAGTTGAGACATTCACAAGCATGGTTCAGCACATGTCACATACATGTCACATGTGTCTGTTACCGAGGGACCTTTTCTTGGAATCCGCTTCGGTCTCAACTGGTGGATCTTCCACAGCTTTCACCGAGAAGTAGGCGGCCAAGATGCCTACGAGTAGCGAAACACACAGATCGCAGCTCCGTCCGATCTCTCCGGACGAGCTACGCGATGCCGCGATGCCCTTTGGTTCCTTTCTTAAGCCTGGCTCCTAGTAGTAAGGCCAGGAGCTACGTAGCTCGATGCCCGGAGCTCCGTTCGTAGCCAGGTGACATGGAAAATGCATCATGGACCGGCCAAATCGACGGTCACAGCCCAGATCACAGGCCTACAGAGACATCCTTCGGCTCCTCATCTTTGGCACCTGGCGGAGGTCCAAGAACGGCCCGACTATGGCCCTAGAGCTAGGTGCCTGCATCAACCAAAACCAAAACCAAAAAACGTCTAAGTAGTAAAAATTTGACCGTTCTAAAGACCAAAGATTGACCATGTTACTACCCAAAAGGTCCCCACCTTGCATTGCCTCCGAGGCAACGGCGGCTAGCTGTGTGGCCAATGCCTTTGGCCGACCCTGAACGAAAAACGCTAAGTGTGTCAATGCATCAAAAACAAACGTGGCAAAGCAAACCTGGTGCCCTGTGCCCTGTGCGAAGACAGCTTCCTGCCTGGTTTGCTGCCACAGCTGTCGCCATTTCAGTGGTTTTCACGGCGTTCGCACCGTCCGTCAGGAGGAGCAAGCAAAGAGTGTTTCCTGAGGTGGGTTGGATGCCCAATTGTATACCAG